TTTCTTCATTTTATACACAATGAATTGAAACAGTTGTTGAATAGTTCTTATTGATTGAACAATTTCTTACATGAGTCTTAGCATATTCGTGAGACATTGACAGATATTATTTCTTTGTCTTGGTATTCTCATTATGTTAATAATTGATGATCAAAAAATAAATAAATATTTCTCACCAAAATATTCAACATTGTTCTTGTAAGCATCACAAAGGCGAAAAAGGACAGGGGCGCATTTGGTCATAAATCAACCCATAGGAATTTTTTTAAGGAAACCCTTACTATCTTATATCAAATGAAAAATCTCATTGAGATGAGCATTTTTAGTGACGGCACCAACTTTTCTTTCACGAGTGAATAAAAAGTTTCAGTTTGATCAATATTTGACGTCTTTGGGCCTAAATGGCTTTTATGATCGATATGATATAGTTCACCTACCCATATACTAACAAGAAGAAAAAAAGATTTTCTTTACATCATTTAGTAGGCTATATGGCCCTTTAGCACCACTAAAAGTATCAAGGCTTTCGCTTCAGTCCTTCTGACTTTATAGTGGAAATATGATCCTGAAAGGTCTTGAAAAACCGTATTAAGACTATCAGAAGCGACCATGGTAGATATTCTTGTTCTTCAACGGCAAGAACAAACATCATCATTTTTTATCATAAAGAGCTTTTTGTATTACCTACAAAATTTACTTATTACAATTGAAAAACATTTTGAGGAAGACACCTGCTGGAGACGCAGATTGCCATTGGAGTGCCGATTTTGCCTAAAAGTCATCAGTATTTCAAGTATTCGCCTTCGAATTCTATTTAAAAGAAAAATTCAACGTTAGATTCATGTTCAGCATTAAAAACTGAGTCGATCTGTGTATGTTTCAAAACAATCCGACAACTTTTATTTTCGTCGAAAAATTCAGCTGGGTCCTCCTCAAGGACGGGTCGAAAAAAAATTCAGTCGAAACCCAATTTTATCTGTAAGAAACAAGTTCTCGACATTTAATATATTATTATAACCCTTAAAAGAATATATATCTATACGGATAAAATTCTGTTTAGACTCAATTAATTTTTCGACCCATCTCTGAGCAGGACCCCAGCTGATTTTTTTCGATGGAAATAAAAGTTGTCGGATTGTGGGTGTGGTTGTGGCTGTGGGAGGGTGTGGTTGTGACTGTGGGTGTGGCTGTGTGGATGTGGGTGTTAGTCTTCCCTTCATTCATACCCACACCCACCCACACCCCACACCCGCATCACACACAGTGTGTTGGTAGTGTTTCTGGCTATCGGAGGTGTAGGCATGCGTTATCTCTGGTGCGTTGCTATGTAGCTGTTTATTTTCGGTGTGAATGAGGGCAAGATCTCTATTCCAACCACACCGCATGCCCACGTCTACAGTACATTCGAGTGCTGGATCATCAATCGATGCTACACCTAAATAAACAAAGTGACAAGTCTAGCAAGATCAAAATCATGATCATGGAAACTGATTTCTCTCACTCTCTCTCTAATAAGATTTTCAAATGACAAAAAATTATGTGTCATTGAATTCTTTCCTATTCAATTTTATTCGGTCGACTATGGTTGCAAGCTGCTGCACGATGACGAAATAAAAAGAGTAATGGTTTACTTTCGTTCGAATCATAGAATCCAAAAAAAACAACAGGTGAATATTCGATGAGAAAAATCAAAATAAATTGAATCTGAACTATGCACGAGAGAGTATATGTGTATAAGTGGCTTCATGAACTTCAAAGTTTTCTACTGTCCTAAAATGCATGAAGCCAACATTTGCATTGTTGCTTGTTTTTGAATGATTTCAAGAACAAAAACAAATACTGCATTCGATGCAAGCATTGCATAGACGAAAAGTATTGCGACGTTGATAGAAAAGGTATCTACTAACTAGAAAGGATATTCGGATTTAAGGTCATTTTTGACTGAGTATTTGTAACAGTCATAGTTTGAACTTTTTCACGTCTGCTCAGACAACAATACAACCAACTATTTTCACCATAAAAGATTTGTGAAGACGCTTAACAAGGCAAGTTTTTTTAGATAAAAACGACTTTTTTATGCATGGCGTATGCCAAAAATTTTGTGGGAAAACTTTTTGGACGTTTTTCACACATAAAAGTTATCTTTTTAAGTATCTTCATGCATCTTTTATTATGAAAGTAGCCGGTTCTGATGTTTTCTGAATGGACGTGTAAACGCGGAAACGGAAGCTACAATTACAACGTTTAAATACGTCTTTAGAAGTTCTTGTCTGTTCAGGTAGTATTATCTACAGGTAAATCATGTTATTGATCCTCTTGTGTCTTTTCTTTCTCGTCTGCTCTAAAGTCTAGTCGTCTATACATATGTTCCGTTTATCTTGCGTACATCTGTAGTTTATTAGTTTCTTTTCAAGAAAATTAAAGAAATAAAGTTAGATTAAACCTTAACACTATTCACCTGTTTCCGATAGATAAGAAAAATTTCTGCTTCTTCATTAAAGTGTATTCTGCACTTAATATTCAAGCAAGAGTTATTCGAAAATTTGATCAAATGAAAGATGATGAATATCTTTCTGTATTTCTTTTTTGTGCTGTCACCACTACTTTTTCTTGTATATCCTGGTGTATACAAGCAGCTAGTCTTTAGAAGAGATTACAAAAAAAAAAGAAAGAAAACAAACAAAAACAGCCCTTATCAAAATTTTATTATTATGATACTAGCTGAAAAACGTTGAAATATCGCTGAAAAAGCTTGTTAGCACAATCTCTTTGAGGCTGAAATGTGAAATTCACATAGGTTTCTTACTCTCATTAAACTAGTACAAAATGCGTAAATTGAAAATCCCTTGTAGACTATAGTTGTTTTCCAAGATAATCGATCACCACAGTAAGAATCTGTCTCATTCACTTCTGCATTTCGAACAGAATTTTTTTCTTTCTTTACGGGTATCCGCACTTTTGTTTGAATCGTTGCTATTCGTTCGTTATTTTTCTTTTTCATATTTCGTGTTCTATTTAACATTGTTATTATTATAAACATTGAATTAAATGGCAAATAAGGCTGTTGTAAAATATTCGTTAAATTTACAGCAGCAGATCTTAACACACTATTATATATCTCGATCAAATCACGCTTTTGATGTTTATTATATAACAATCGTAGCAAGTCAACCCACGCCTACCCATCATTGTTGACATCTTGAATATAAATTTTTATCTCCGCAAAAATCAAAAGCTGCACTATTTAAAACGTTCACAAACGTATTCTAGCCATTCAATTTTCGGCTAAGGCTTTGCAATATTCCAGAATTTTCTACAATAGTCTAAGTCATGCCGTTAATGTTAAAGTCGTTCATCGTCTTTTTCTGTTGCTAAGAAACTCTAGTAAAGAAGTCAGATGCTGGGTGTCCTAGATTGTAAAAGGCTGTAATGAGGACGGGAGAGGGCTGAAAAACTTCGACTTAAAACTTGTACTCACTATTTCCTTCAAAAATATACGTAATTTGCACAAAATAGAGCGTTGTTTTTTTTCTATCTTTCCATATATCTATATTCTATAGGATACATTGGGCATCGCACTGATGTGAGTCCGAGTGATAGAAGGCAATTTTTGATAAGCGCATAAATAGTTGGTATTAAGGCAGTCCAATACACTAAAAAGCTACTTTTTGCACAGGTTTCCGCATTCACTCTTTCATATGGAGTGGCGTCGAGAGCTCTGAGGTACTTGAAAGATATTTCTTTTTAAAAAACTTTGTTTCCCAGAGACAAAAATGACTTTCAAAATACGTAGTTTTGATTCAAAAATAGTTTCTTAGAGCGTTTTGAGTACGCTGATTTCGAATATAACAATAGACAGGTTTTTTTGAGAACATTTTAAACGGATTTATTGAAGTTCAGTCTTACAAAAACGACGGTAACCAGACCATAATCATAAACATAGTTTTAGGTATATTGTAACCCCGCAGTTTCACATAATTGGGGACAAAATAGAAACGATACTCAAAAAAAGAAGAGATATGTGCTCAGAGTCTGTAAATTTTATTGAATCGTCGTGTCATCCAAAAATGGTTGACGGACACATCATTCGATGAAATTTTCCGTGTTAATCCCAAATATGTCCTTGTTTTTGTCTCAAAGCGCTTCTGTAATAAAGAAAACACAGAAAAACTTAAGAAGGCAAGTTTTCTTTTTACAAAATCTGCATCTCAGTCCAGAAGCATTTCCACTCCTTTGCACTAACTAAGCGTACGTCTTAGATATACAAAACAAACGCTTAGCGTAAAAAGAATAGTTATTTCGTCTGAAGAAAAGGTGAAAAGACGAAAACAATTTTTCTATAAATTGATAGAGCAGAAGTTTTCATTTCAGAAGAAATATGATTTATTGTTCAGCTCTTTTTACTATGCGCAAAAAAAGTAATGTCTTTCTCTAATTATTCTCTAACGGTACTAGAATTTGACCTCTTTTGCGACTTAGTTTTTCAATGAATTTAGCCGTTGAAACAGAGTTTTTCTTACCAAAAACACTGGTCGTTAATTAAAGTGTGTAGGTTGCTATTCGAATCTCGAAAAATTTCACTCTTATTTATTCACGTAATGTTCACGTTATTGCTCGCTGTGCTAAGGCAGAAAGATCAGAAGCACCGTGACTTCTATATACAGTGTAACTTAGAATACACATCCAATGTCAGATTTTATTTGGAAAATTTTGTAAAATAATTAACAATTCATAATAAAATATTAAACGACTCGAAATTTGATTTTAGATTCAGATCGTCCACCTACGATAACTCTTAGGTCAACTTTCATAGAAAATATTAGAAATTATTGTGCCCACTATACCCAACAGTTGTAAAGTATAGTATTCGCACTCAATGAGACCATTTGAAAAGTTGGTTTTTCATTTAAACCAACTCATCGAGTTTTACATCAGTACCTCATTGGCTTAAAATATAAAAAGGATTTTGTTTTCTAACTTTATAGATTAAGAAATCGATTATGAATTTGAATAAAATACTATTGTCGATATTCTTAATTGCTCCAACGATCGATGTTTGTAGAACGGTCAGTACTAAATTGCCAGCACTTTATTACGGGAATCAAGGTTGGGCTATGAGAGAAATTGAATATATTTCATCATGGATCGGTATACGTCCAATAGTAATATTACTTTTTACTGATTGGTGTAATACATCAATGAATAATTTATTCAACTATCAGCTGAATAATATATGGAATAATCAGAGTATTCCAGTGATTACATGGGAATTATTTGGTTGTGGTGGTAGTAGTCAATCGGGTATAATGCAACTTGTTCGGAATAATACATATGACACATACATAAACCAATTTGGAGATCGTTTGAAATTGTGGTTAGCCGGAAATGATGGTGTTTTAGGTAGCAATGATGATCGAAGGGCATATCTTCGATTAGGTATGATATCCATTCCAAAACTTGTAACTTGTGTCTTTCAAGATAGGAAACAGTATAATTATCATGATATGTGTATTTCATTAATCATTGGAAATTTGAAAGATTGGTGATTTCATTGAGTAAGCCATCCCAATCATCAATGAACTCTCAATTACGCTCGTCAGTGATAGTTCGTTTGGTCGTTTGAAAAGTGACCAGGTTAAATAGTAGACTTGAGTAGATGTCAATCAGTAGTTTATGTCGAAAAATACTTGAGAAAGCGGCGTCTCTAGCTGTCTTTCCTTCATGTCTCAGGAATTAGGATTCACTTAGAAATGTCGGAACACAATACATCTACAAAATAATCCTTGATGCTCATGTCAACAAAAAGAGAAACCTAAATAACTAGGTAAAACTATATAAGTTTTGATTAAATATTTCCTTATCAAAATATTGAAATAAATACAAGAACAAGTAGCGAGAAAATGTATAATTTTATTGCGTTACATACACATTTGTAAGTATTTCAAAATATCTTACACTTTAAGGCTCACACTAAAATTCAAAATTTCTTTCATATCCATTCGGACGTACATGTGCGGCTCCATTTGTGAGTGGAAAGCTTAGGCTGTTGGTAGTTTCCGTCCGAATTCTAGATGGCTTAGTTTTTGTATGGCTACTATTGTGTCGTGAGTTATCACTTCATACGTAAGATCTGAATGTCTCTCGATATGTAACTGATGATGACTTTCTATTGCATAAAAACATTTGATTATGTCTTCGTCAAATATTTTACTTTATTCGGATGCATGCTGGTAGCGATGTAAGCAAATTGAGAAGTTGGCGACAGTAGCTAAAAATACAATGTGGACGTGGTTAATACGGATGTCGGTGTGGATAAGCGCACGTGCTGCTACTGTGAGTGTAGGCATGGTTCTGTATCAGTGTCTTCCATTCACTTAAAATAGTCACACTCCATAGTCACGTCCAAAAATAGTCCAAATTTTTTTACTAGAAACTGGGCAAGGACAGTATATTTCCTTGGTATTTTCATCAGGTTTGTACTAGTTTATGCAAAAGTGTCTGCTTGAAACGTGAAACTTTCAGGGTTTGTAATGCTTGGACAATCGAACGTTTTAGTATATTGGATTTGAGATTATATACTGGCATCTAGAAATGGAAACGATCACATTTTTTTTAATAATCTGTGAATCGCATTCTCTGATACCAACGTACTTTTCTCAAATTCAATTCTTCTAAAGTGGCCACCGTCCCAATCTCTACAAATCCTGAATGTTTCATGCTTTCCGATGACCTTTTCACCTAGCTTGAACTCAATGAAGAGATGAGTACCTATCGATTTTCACTACCGGTATAGGAAGTTGCGGAACTACAACCAAATGATTTTTTCCATCGATTCCTACGAATTTCTGCAAAAGTACCATCTGGAAATCTAAAACCTTCAAGACATGTAGAGACTGGAACGAAACTCATTTTGAAATAATCAGATTTTGGAAAACATACGGATATCAAGGAATGCGATTTACCCGTTGATAACTTATGAAAATCTGACCATTCGCGTTTCTAGATGCCACCATATTTTCTTAAATCTAATTATATTAAAATGGTGACCAACTCACACTCAACAAAGCATGAAAGCTTCGCATTTCAAGGAGATAATTTTTCTATAAATTCGTACAAACTTGGTGGAAATACTTTCTTAAAAGAATATTCCTAATTCAATTAACTGATTCAAAATGCTGTTGATTGATTTCCATGAAATAGATTCAAATAAAAACTTTTTATTGCATGCTTATAGCTCATGAAATGAATGGAAATTGGTATCCGTGGTCAATGGGTTCAACTCCGCAAGATTTCATTTCGGCATGGCATCATATACATGATATATTCACAAACAAAAGTTTAGATTCGACGAGACTTCAATGGATTTGGTGTGTGGGTAATGTTGATGTTGGTAGTTACACAGCCGAAAATTATTGGGTCGGAGAAAATTATGTTGATTGGATGGGAATTGACGGATACAATTTTGGTACAAGTCAAAGTTGGAGTTCATGGTTAAATCCAAATCAAATTTTCGACAATATGATCACATGATTACAAAATTTATCATCAAGAAAACCAATATGTATAAATGAATATGCATCAACAAGTGTTCGTACGGGAAATATCTCCAACATAACAGCAAAACATGATTGGTTACAACAATTTTGTACATATATGAATAATAAACAAATTAAAATCGCTTCCTACTTTAACACAGATAAAGAAACAGATTGGGCAATTTTCGGTGGAATTCGTGGCGATAGTATGTGGACTAATAATAGTGTCTATACTGCATATCGAGATTGCTTTCAATCGAATGATTGGATACTAGTAAATAGTACAAATCCAAGACTTATTAGTGATGAAGAATTCTCTGGTACAGGTAAGAAGAATTGAACAGCACAAAATCAGAAATTGAAACGCAACAAAAGAATTTTTTTTGAAAAACTTGTGAAAAGATACAAGATTTATTCTATCACGATTGTTTAAGAAAACTGTCAAGTGATCGTTAGCGTTTACATCGATACTCTGTTGATAAAAACTGTAGGATTCGAAAAGATCTATAAACAATCCTCTACGTTAACTGCTTGCTCGATTTGTAAAAGCTTCATTGATGAGAAGAAGCACTAGAACGAAGATAGAAGTGCTAGAGCAAAAACTTGATCATAATACCTGGCGCAAAAGTACCAAACAACGTAATGATTCATCATTACAAACGAAAAAGATTCTTATCGTAATACTCTGTTTTGGAAAAAAACTCTTCTGCATTTCTCTATTCCTCTCAAATTTCTTGCATATTTTTTAGAAAACTTAGCAGATGATTACAATAGCTTTTAGTACAATTGCTGCTGGATGGAAATATGAAACATAATCGAGCTGATCTATTTCTTCATGCTATTTACTTTTTAATGTGTATGAATAGTGCTAAAACAAAGAATTCAAATACAATTAGAAGAAAAAACGCGAAGATTTTAATGTCTTATCCATTCTAAAGAGGAGCAATGTATTCGTTAACGGAGTTTCTGCAATCTGTTCAAAAGACAAATATTAGCGATTGAGATTGATTTCTATGTTTACTCTAACTGTGAGAAGCACATCAATCGCTCGACTTATTCTAGACTTAATTCGGAAAAATAACAAAGATTTCAGTTCAATCACTTCAAAAATATTATTGTACAACACGATAGAGCCACTTTAATCATAATAGAGAAACCTATTCACGTCTGTCGTGATCTATAGGATAGGCTAAAAAAAAAAGAGACTAAACTTTACATTTGTTGCCATTCGTTTCAATATCCATTAACTATTGCGTTTCAAAAAATGTTTAGGGCAGCTACCGTCGAATGTAACAGGGACAAGTATAAGACTTATTTCGTGAACACATAAGAATCCTTGTGCCATCAATAATATATACAAATTTGAAATAGTATAAACAATTCAACTTCAATAAATGGTTTGCATGAAAAATTTTGGTCCGTTCAATCATTTTTGATTGAAGTGGAAACAAATGACAGACTCCGATATATTTTTTTTACTAGCAGAGTTACTAGATAATATTACAGAGAAGGTGAGTTCTCTAATTCGTCAGATTCCAATCAAAAAGTACCATTTTTCGGTTCTAGGACTTTTCGTTGCAGGACAAATCGTTGCGGACAAATCGTTGCAGACAAATCGTTGCAAGGACATTTCGTTGCAGGACAAATCGTTGTAGGAAAATTAGTCGCGGACATATTGTTGCGGACAAATCGTTGCGGACAAAACGTTGCGGACAAATAGTTGCATGGACAAAACGTTGCAAGGACAAAACGTTGCAGGACAAAACGTTGTAGGGACAAAACGTTGTAAGGACAAAACGTTGTAGGGACAAAACGTTGCAGGACAAAACGTTGTAGGGACAAATAGTCGCATGGACAAAATCTTGCAATCGTCAAATTTTGTATTCTACAATAATAGATAAGAAATTCAGTTTTCATTTTCCAATATGTCAACTATTCCATTCTTTTGAAATATTTATTATTCTAGAAGTATAACAACGAATCAACAAATCATTGTCTACAAAAATTTAGTAAATAATTTTTTTTTTATTATGTAATAACTGTGATCCTAAGATCCTAACAGTACCAGAAATGAGAAGAGAGAGAGAGAAAAAAAAAGTGAAATAAAACGTACACAGAACATATAAAAAGAAGGAAGGGTTCTACATATAAAAATGCAGAGGAAAGAAACTTAGTAAATAATTTTTAAACTATTACATTGGCACTGACATTTTTCAAATATTGATCAAGTTGATTCTTATCATAGATATTGACAACACGTACCATTCTTTCATTAAGTTTTCGATAAATTGTTTTTTTCATTTTTAGTTCATGTCCTTGATTAATTCTTTCAATATCAATTTCAAACTTTGATTGCTCTCGACGAATTTTATCAGCAAGTTTTGCTGTTGAAGGATGAGCATTGGATACACGATTAGCGAATCCGTTGTGCCAACCTTCTACTGAATTATTGGATCTAGGAAGATTGTTGATAACACGTTCATATACATTCCATAATTCATAATTAAATTTTGGTTTCTTTCTTCCGGCTCCTGCAAAAATACATTTTGAGCAAATTGTATGAAACTAAATAATGTTTACCTCGTTTTTTCTTCTCACCAATCCATGTTTTTTCAAAGTATTCGAGGAGAGTATCACCATCATCGTCGAAATTATCAGCAACTAGATTAAATGCTTCTACCACATCAACAACTGGAACAAAAGGTAGAGAAAGTAGTTTTCTCACATTTAAACGAAAATTTTCATCATCTTGATATTTTTTTGATAAGCCATTGTCTTGGATATGACGCCAAACGCATTGCCCAAAGTGAAAAAGACAGCCTAAAGTTTCGATTCAATATTATTAAAATACATACATTCGAGAAATAGTTTACCCCTATGTATTGCATTAGGAAAAAAATCTTTAATTGCTTTGATTGTGCCTGATTCATAATCACTAAGTATTGATTCAGGCGCAAAATCATCCACTTCCAAAAGTTTTTGAAAGAACTTCGTATAATCAGCCGCACTTTTGCCAATTAATAACACATAAACAAGTGGAATGATCGTCGACGTCAATAATGCATGTACTGTAAATAATTGATAAAAATCGTTTGGACACACCTAGGTAAACAATAATGATGAACTACAGAAAAATTCAATTTATACAAACTTTGAATGTCCCGTCTACAAACCAATGCTTGCATTCTTTCAATAAAGATAAATTGGTTCTTGTGGTAAAAATAATCATATCATTATCTTCATATAATATAAATTTTTCTCCACGATCTGTTTTTCTTAAATTGTCAGGTAAACGACTATTTGGATCAGAATATGGTGATGAACGTTGTCGTCGAATACTTCTCATTAATGAATCATCCTTTGGCAAATTGCTAACTGCATTTAAAGGCAACGATCGCATTGAAGAATGCAAGATTGAGCTTGAAGCTTCGTCGGATGTTGCTGCTTTAATTTTGATTTCGGTTTTAAGTTCAAGTGCTGGAATGCGTTCTGGATTTGGAGGATGAGAATGTTTGGTTGGTTCCGACAAAAATGAATCCATAGTAAGATTTGTATGACATCGAGCTTAAAAGAAAGTTGTAGTTATTTAAATCAATTTAGCATTACTCGTACGATTAATTTACCTTTGCAATCACGATCTTGACATCGAAAAATACATTTTATTGTTGTTTGTCGTTCTAATGTATAAATAAAGCCATCATATACCACTAAAGGTTTTCCCTTTTGTGAGAACATTTTTTTAATATGTGACATATCCTGTATTTGTTAAAGGATGCTTGACTATGTGCAGTCCTGTTGTCTCAAATATATATATATGTCGCAGGTTAATCTCGAATTGGCCTAGTCCAATCCGAGATTCGCCTAATTTTGATCAGGCCAGTTTAAGATTGATCTGGTCAAAGATTGACCTGCGATACATATATCTTCTGATAAAAATTAAAATTCGATCAAATTTTAAATTTGCCTAGTCAAAAAGTTTCACTGAACTTTAATTTTGACGACAACATATAAAGCTCATATTCTGAAGATTAAATTCATTTTCTGATATACAAATATACAGCAAATTATAGACTATTACCACGTTTTGTCCGTACGACTATTTGTCCCTACAACGTTTTGTCCGTGCAACTATTTGTCCCTACAACGTTTTGTCCGTGCAACTATTTGTCCCTCGACGTTTTGTCCATGCGACGACTTTTTTACAACGTTTTGTCCGTAACGATTTGTCCGCAACAATATGTCCGCGACTAATTTTCCTACAACGATTTGTCCTGCAACGAAATGTCCTTGCAACGATTTGTCTGCAACGATTTGTCCGCAACGATTTGTCTTGCAACAAAAAGTCCGGTCACCCCATTTTTCCTCACTGAGAAATTTCTCAGAGAAGTAGACCTGAACAACTTACAGAAGAAGCTCACCTTTCTCTAACATCTGTTCTTTTGGGGAGGTTTTGCCACTAGTTTCTATTGTTCATTGTTTCAATGTTGAGAACACCAGCTCCACAAGCATTTGTTCTACTAATTTCTTCCAGAATCTATGCAGATACATACGACTTTTTCGATGAGCGCAAACATTTGTTATTGAGGAACACACGACTCTATATCACCAGATAAAAATCGTGCAGAGTTTCGTCACCCATCGATATATCTCAGGATCTTTATTTCCTTGATTTCTAACACTATAAAAAATTCCGGATTTTGCAAACCCAAAAAAGCGTTCATGAATGTGTGACAAACGATAAATCGTTTTTAATTAGATTGGCATGCAACAGAAGTTTTAACCATTTTTGTGTAGTGAAATATTTATCGTTCTAGTATCGTATACGACAAGTACAACGACAAGAACAACCACTTCGACTAGCATTTTATCGACTAGTACAACGTTAAGTACTGCGAAATACTCTTTATTCTGAAAATTCAGATGATTTGCATATTGTTTTGTCTTAGGTACAACATCAAGTACTCTGGCGACGGCTGGACTAACTATACAAACAAGTACGAAATTTTTACAAAAAAAATACTTGACAGAAGCTCTCAGAAAAATTTATGCAGTTGATCCACCATCTAAGTATTGTAGAATATGGAAGGAAAAATCAATATTATTGTTGTTAATTGTTTGCTAAAATTATCTGTTTCAGAGACACCAAAATCCTATAGGTAGAACTCTTCAAGAAGAATAAAACAGTTGGATTCTTTCGGACTGAATTTAAATACGAATTTGCTTTCGGAAACGCTCTAGCTATGCTATAAATCTGATTATTTGATTTTTTCGTGTTTGCAATTCTAGCGACAACAATAGGATCATCTATAATGGCATATTCTACCTCGATTTCTGCAGCAACTATAGTTGGATGTGCCAATAAATATTGCAACATTTTGCAAATAGTTATTTGCATTATCGTGACCTATCTAAATAATTGAAACTTCCTGTCGCTTTTACACATTTTCCTAACTTTTCATTTTCGCGTGTAATCTGACTACTTTCCATCGTCTAATAAACTTGAGTTGACAACTAACTGTTATAAAACAAACTTGGATAATCACTGGGTACCATTATGTCTACAAAACAGGGTGTGAGTGTGCGTATAGATCAATGGAAGGCCTACACCCATATTCACATTGCACATCCACACTCTCGGACGCCATACTTTGGTTTCGACTATATTACAAGCTATCTTTCGTAAAAATTGCGTTGAATAGGTTGAGTTCGTCAGACTTTTACTAGGTTGAACAAACAAGAAGTGCTCTGAAATATCATGTTTCTCTTTAAAATAAAGTCTAAAGTTGCACGTGAACTCTGAATAATTCATGCTTCAACTGTTTCTTTCTTGTCTAGGGCATTGAGCCTAGAGGAACAGGACAAAGTTGTATCGAATTCTTTTATATTGTGTTGAGAAACTGGAAAAAACACGCTTGCACCATCACAGCCGTGCAACAATACGGAAAATTATTGTTATAAATAAGAGCAAGCTGTGCTGCTGAAATATTGAACGCAAAAGTGAGCACTCATCGAAATCATGCATGGTGTTGCCGTGAACAATGTATGTTAGAGAACTACTTTCCAAGTCCAAGCAACCAGTGTGCCAACACTTTTGAATGAATACCGAGAAGCGAAAATTGTTCCAGACACGTTCAGTCAGTCGAAAATCGTTTTGTTTGCCGACAGAGAAGAAAAAATTGAAAATGTCAAGGTCATACCCAAGTGTGCGATATGAATCAAAGGGTGTGGGTGTGGGTGTAGCGTGAGTGTTCTCTTCATAGCCACAGCCACACCCACACGCACATCCACACCCTCAAGTCTTGATTTTTTCAGATGATACTTTATTGCATATTCGTACTTCATCATATCGTTAGTGAAAAGTAAATCGATTCTTTTGAAAAATCTCGACCTATTCAGAAAGATATGGAGAGGAGAACAAAGTATATGCCGTTGTATCCAATCTAAACGTTTTGAAACTCGATTCCAGAGAGTCATCTATACTCTGCATGGCTCGAAAGTCCAATACGCTCATTAGAATCAAACTTTGATATCAATCATTTAAGATTATAACTAAAGCCTTTTTTAATTTTTTCTCTTTTTCATCACTTACGGTCTACAGGAGTTGCAAGTCCAGTATACTCACTAGCATCAAATTTTGATTCCAATCATTGAAGATTATATCTAAAGCCTTTTTAATTTATTCTTTTTTTTTTTGAAAACCTATATAAAAAGCATTTGAAGCATTTGATAAAAAAAGCACTTTCTAATCTCTAACATTAAAACATGCTTCAAATCATCATTCTAGTTTTGTCTCTTGCTCTTGCAAATGTTGTTGTTGGAGACGATCTTGAATCCGACGAACCCAAGTGTGAAGCAAACTATGGTACGAATGGCCCCGAATTCCCATGTAGTGGTAGTTTATCCACAGATGACAGATGTAACAATACTTTCCTTAATATTTTTGACACACCATTCTACGATTGTTCAAATGTAAATATCTTTTGGGATGCTCCAAGGAATAATTTGACACTCACTATTGAAGCAGCAAATTATACAAATTTAAAACAACCGTTTGCAGTCTCATTAAGCAGTAGATTGGGCTTAGTACCAGTCTACAGAATTTATTCAAATGGACAAGAAGTCTTGATATCAAAAACAGAGGAAAAACAAAGTGTACACACATCTGATGAAAATTATCAAGTTGTGCTGAAATTTAAAGGGCCACAGCGATTTCAACTTTATGGAACATTCATCGAGTATCAAGTTACACCAATTAATACGAGTGTTTCATAAAAAATGTTTCGAGTTCGTCGACGAATAACTTCGGGAAAAGAAAAATACTCGCCATTATTATATTAATATATTAATTATTCTTTGTCATCATTTTTTTCTGTTTTGAAGGAATGATGGAATAAAATAAGAAATTGATGATAGTCTCTGTTTTTCTATCAATATTGTCATAGGTTAGTTCGTTCTTCTTTAGACAAACAGTGTGAAGTATTTTCAATTGTAATCAAATATTGAAGAAGGGTGTGGGTGTGGGTTGTGGGCGTGGGTATGGGGTGTGCGTGTGAGTACGGGCACAAATGAGGAGACGATAGCATGCTCACACCCACACCCCACACCCACCCCCACACCCACATCCATACCCTATCTCACACCCACACCCCACACCCACACCCACATCCATACCCTATCCCACACCCACACCCACATCCACACCCATACCCACAACCACACCTACACCCCACACCCAGCCACACCCGCACCCACACCTACACCCACCCACCCACACCGCACTCACACCCACACTCACACCCTCTTCTTGCAAATGATGACATAGATCATCGAAACGTCGAACTATTGTCTTTCTTTTGTGAAAAAATATCTTGAATAATGTTCTAGAAAGCCGCTGTTATCTTATCATTTATTAGAGAGACACTTTACTTTGCTTTACTCGTTAAAGCAAAGATAAAGTGTCACCCCTAATTTCCAACTTCTTAGAAATTTTTTCCAACAATGTATCAAGTATTACTCATAGTCTCTTTACATCAATCTGTTTCTATATATCGCAACATTTTCTCTGCTTAAAATTTTCGCCTTAACTTTGATACTAGCTTTTGTCGCTCTTCAGTGGTTGCTAAATATGACCAGTGAAATGTTCACAATTATGCCGGCGAATGACACCACAGTTCCTCCAATACAATCGACGCCAATGGGGTCCACTGCTAAAGTAATCTCGACTTTGCGCAGTGCTCTTTTGAAGTCGTCCTACGATTACCAACAATCGAAATCCTTGTCTAGTGGCCAGATAGCAGCATTCGTCCTCATCCCTATAGTTGTCATTTTCTGTATTATCGGGATCTGCTGCGCTTCAAAGAACACGCCGAAAAAGATTGAACCAACTGGTCATTGGGAAATTGATGCGGTTCCTCGATGGGTCCCTCATTGAGACAAAACAGCATTCGCTATTTCGATGCTCGAATGACTTCAAAAGTCATTATTATATTCAAGACAAAAGTTTGTCAACCGCTTCGAGCACTTTTTTGAGGAATATAGTGCTCTTTCCATTCAATCTGAATGTATGCATTCGCCCTTTGAAATAAAATGTTTACAAACCTATAGTTATTAGCTCATTTACTTGGGTGCATAATGTGATCGATGTGAAGCTAGCACGACGACCAATCATAATAGACTCCGAAGTGACCAATCGGAATCATTTCATGTTTTACCACACAACATCCATCGAATACAGT